GTGTGTGTGTGTATGTGTGTGCCTTGAACGTATGTGTAAATGTGTAGCTTAGATACTACGGTCGTTAAATGTTGGACTCGCCGGTTTGACTATAGTCGAACAAAGTGCTTCTGTGGCCAGCTCTCTCTCTTTTTCTCGTGCCGGTGGCGCCTGTGAATTTAGAACCGTTCGGTTACGCGAGCTCTGAGTCAACCAATCCGATATATGCATTTAGAACATTTACAAACCCGCGAAATATTTAAAATATATTCTTCGCATATTGGTAAACGTGTTAAAAAAATTCACACTATCTTACATATCGGTTATTATGTAACGCGAGTTCATTTCGTCCTCCTTTCTCGTAGGATAAGGTACGTAAAAAAATATCTGAATATCTCTCTTTAACTTAATTTGTCGAAGTGATCGCGTAAAATTTATAATTCGAATTTCTTCTAGGCTTCCTATCCTTGGATCGGTCGGATGAAAAATTCTGTTTCGACGCTATTGTTCTACACTGAACTGGAAATGACCAAAGATATCCATACATGTTTCCAATACCTTATCCTACACTGCTCCATCCTTTCTTCAACATTTTCCGTAATATATCTATTTCTCTTTCACGTACTGTAAGTTGTCTTCCATTGCGCCACGTCCAAGATTTTAAAGCCACAGTATTTAGCCTATCCAAACACACAGAAGATCAGAAGAAACATGCAGAACGATTAGAACATAAAAACCAATGTATATACAAATGTACAAGAAAAACGCGAGAAAATTAAACAAAAAAAAAAAAAGAAAATGCTGTGATTGTTCAATCGAATCAGATCTTAACAAAATTACACGTGACAGAAGAATGTATTACAATTATGGATGACCGGAATTGATATTTTTAAGTGGAATTCTAAGGAAAGAACGACGCTTTTTATTACGACGCTTCAGTCTTTGTTACGTGAATATTTCTCTATTTCGAATCATTCTGTCATGCGCGTTCTAATATTTCCACACGCGAATCTGACCTGTTCGCAAATCGTCGTTGTTGCCTCTCGAGGCTCAGCGGCGAAGAAGACAACTTACGCTAGCTCCTTTATGCTCTTGTAAGAACCGATCTTTGCTACCTACATGTACGTTAATTCGCATGTACGTGCTCGATTCCAGTCGAAATGCGAAAACTAACGCGCGGCGAAAGTACGTGTCGATGATTACGATGATGACGAGCAATTACAAGTGTACCGATATAACGCTAATGATATTTATCGTAACTACGAGTTATATATTTTCTTTCTCCTCATTTAGTTGAACTTTCATTGTGATTTTTTTTTTTTTTTTTTTTTTGAACACCG